TTTCAGTAACTGGCAACTCCATTATTCCAGCTGCTTCTGCCAAAAGCCTTGGAGTCATTCTTGACTTCGCTCTTCATCTCACACCCTACATCCGATCCATCAGCAAATCCTGCCAGCGCTGCCTTAAAATAGACTCAGAATCTGACCAATCTCACCACCTTCATTGTTAACGGCCTGGTGCAAGCCACCATCATCTCTCACCTGGATTATTCCAACAGCCTCCTGATCGGCCTCCCTACTTCTGCCCTTGTCCCTTGCAGACTGTTCTCAGCCAGGGTGTTAAAACATAAATCAGATCAGAACACTGCTCCTCTCTGAATTCTTTGGCTTCTCACCTTACTCTGAGTGAAATGGCTCATAAGATCCAACATGATTTGGCCTCTTGTTACTTCTCTGACCTTTACCTACGCACTCGTTTTTTTCAGCCAGCCTGACCTCTGCCTGTTCTCTGAACAGACCAGGTGTGATCCAGCCCCCAGGCCTATGCACTTGCACCAGCACCCTTGCCACATCTGCTCAGCCCCCTCTCTCCCTTCCTTTGGGAGTCTGCTCAGATGGCTGAAGCCAGTGAGGCTTTCCCTGACAATTTGAGGTAAAAAAGCTCCCCAGTTCTCCTAGCACCCAAAAGAGCATATTAAATCTGATATGCAGGCACTGCCTCCCGACTCTGAAACACACTTGCTATGCAAGTACAGGGTGCTGCTGCCTTCCTTGCTGGGTGCTGCATTCCCAGCATTTAGAATAGAGCTTGGCATATAATAGTTGCTCCCTGGATGCTTCCTACATAATTCAGGAATTGTGTTTGAACAGTCTCTAATTGTTTGTCTACTTTTCTGTCTCCCCTCATAAACACTGGGTCCAATTCTCCCTACTCTTGCTGGTGTCCATCACAGAGCATGAAGGGTGGGTGCTTAGCAAACCTTTGACTAAGCAAATGACTAAATGGTAGGTATTCCAGGTGGATGGCCTGGGGTGGTATGAGGGAGGGACTTTGGATAGACAGGGTTGCCTCCTGGAGTCCTTCCTACCTCTCCCCCAGGGACCGGGGATCACCTTAGAGGGGAAGAAGCTGGAAGCCTGAGCCAAGGGATCTCCAGAGGCCAGCAGACAGGGATGTAGGAATGGGCGCTGGAAGCATCTGGAAATGTAGGCCTCCTAGAGAGCAGCACGTTTGGGGCTACATGTGCATTGAGAATCCTGTTTGAGATCAAGGAACTGTAGTTTCAGAACAGGTCAGAGCTTAGGGCTAGGGTTTGACTTAAGGTTTGGGACTCGCAGAGCAGACTGAAGTGTGGGATGTGAAGGATGTAAAGGGTTTTTGGTTTGGGCTGAGTCTGGGGTTTGGGCCTGAGATTTATATTCAGATGGTCTTGAGAAATGGTCAAGGATTGGAACTGTGGTAGGAAAATGGAATAAAAGGTTCAACTTGAAGACATTCATTAGAATTTAAAAGCTTTTCCGACAGGACACTACAGGACAGAAGGTCACGTTTTATAGCAACATTCTACAACAGTCACTCTCCGCCAAGGACAATTTTGCCACCCAGGGTACATGTGGCAATGTCTGGGTGTAACTAGGGGAAGGGAGCTGCTGAGATCTAGCTCGAAGAGGCTAAGAATGCTGCCCATCAGGATCGGGCCCCAGATGTTAGTGGTGCTGGAATGCAGAAAGCCCATGCTGGAAAATCTCTCCATTCTCTGAGGGCTGGACAGGGGCTGACCCAAGTGGGCTGCAAGTCAGGGTGTGTGTGTTTGGGGTGTGAGTCATAAAGGGAGGAGAAGCTGCCCACCTGATCGTTCCCCTGGGATTTAGCTCTTCTGAGCTATCTCTGGCAGACCCAAGGGCTCTGAGAGGATAAGAAAGGGTGATGTACAGAGGGAAGAAGAGAGAGCCAGCCCCAAGTGCCAAGGGACTCATGAAGCTATAGACAAGCGGGTAGGAGATGGTGAGAGAGAGGGACCAATAGCCTTGACAGGATCACAGAGGGCCTGAGCAGCATCCACGGGAGGCAGGGACATGTTGCTGATGGTCATAGAGAGATGGCATCCCAGGGGCGGTGTCTGGGAGCCCAGTGCTCTGTGCCAGGGCCTTGTTCAGGGCAGAGCCCTGCGGCACTTGCCCCATGCCACTCCAACTGCTCTGCATGTACTAACCCACGCTTAACTTTCCCATCAAGCCCATGTGCAGAGCACTCTGTAATCCCCATTTTACAGGTGGGGAATGGAGGCAGGGAGAGGTTAAGTGAGTTGCCTAAGCACCCACAGCTCTGCATGGCAGACCTAGCTATGGAGCTGGCTTAGGGGTTCCATTCTCATTACAGGGGCTCACAGTGGGGATCCCCTAACTTGCTGTGTTGGTCGTCTTCCTCTGCCTTCTGTTTACAAGATCTTACCGCATCCTCCCCTGATGAAGCAGCCAAGGCTCAGAGGGCTTAAGTACCTCTATACACAGCCAGGTCTGCCAAACGTCACGGCCACTGGTGTCCCCGTGGTAAAGCTGGGGTGCACCTCTGCATAGCCTCAGTGTCCACTCCTGTGGCTGCATTTGATTTTCACAGACAGCCTCAGACTTAGGGTTCCTTAACCTGTGTGCCACTGACATTTGGGCTGGATCATTCCCTGCTGTGGGGGGCCATCTGGTGCACTGTACAATGTTCAGCAGCAGCCCTGCCTCTGTACCCCACCTGCTGGTAACAGTCCCTTCTCCCCAGCTGGGACAACCAAGACTGTATCCAGTCATTGTCAAATGTCCCCTGAGCATCCAAATTACTCCCCAACCCGATGGCAACTGCCCACGTACAGGCAAAGAGGAGTCTCTTAGGGTAGAGACGACCATGGAAACTATGGCTCGGAAAGGGTGGTATCTGACCGCACTCAGAGTCACCCAGAGTCACTCAGAGTCAGTGGAAGAAGTCAGGTCCACTCCAGTCAAAAGGAAGGGCTCGCTGCTGAGCCTTCCTGCTGGAATTGTGCTCTCAAAGGTGAGCCTTGGGAGCCAGCCCCTCGAGAGGAGCCGTGCACAGATCCTGTTGGGGAGCTGCCCCTGCCAAGCCCTCCTCCCCCGCTGAGCTGAGGTGGCCTCAAACTGCTCCCAGCTGTGGTGTTGTGAAAATAGTTGAGGCTTTGCTATCAGAGCACATTTCAAAGCTCTGCCCCACTATGTTCTTACTGTGGGGCCCCAGGCACAGCACTGCACAGCTCTGACTCTCTGATTTCCCATCTGAAAAATGGGCAATTCGAGCTAGAACATCTTAAAGACTCGGCTGGCTCGGATGTTCTGATTTTCTCACAATGGAAAGTATGGAGAGATTTAGTCCCAGCTGCACTCCTCACTCCTGGTGGCACCTTGGCCAGGTCACAGTGCCCAACTGCAGAACGCAGTCTCTATACGTGCCATCTGCTGTCAGGTCGCCAACCCTTCGGTTGCGTGTAACTTCTCACAAAACCGTGACCACTGCCCTGCCTTTGTTTATGCCGTTCCTCAGGCAATGATCTTCTTCTCATTGTCCGCCTGCAGAACTTCTATTCTTCCTGCAGGCAGAGCTGACCACTCCCCAGGGCTCCTTTGGTACCTGCCACCCTCTAGATCACTGGCTGCTGAGGTGTGTGTGTGTGTGTGTGTGTGTGTCCAACTGAACTGTAAGAATCCTCGAGGGCAGAAATCGGATCACCCTAATCCTAACATCCTTGGGCCCTCCTGGTGCCTGGTACTGAGCAGAAGTTCATCAGGGTTGAGTAAGAGTGAATGAATGAATGACTGGGAGGAGGGGAAAATTGCCAAGACTTTTAGCAGTTGCAGCCCTCCTAGAATCCAGGGAAGGAGGCCAGCACGCTGTCCCTCAGTCCCTCATATATGGAAGAATGGCCCCACACCCATCCCCGCAAGCGCCAGCCGTCCCAGCCACCCACACATTTTGCGGACTCAGAGAGTACCTTGGACAGCGACCAGGCGCTCTTTTTTTTTTTTTTTTTTTTTTTTTTTTTTTTTTTTTTTTTTTACAGCCGTGTTCTTGTTTTTTTTTTTTTTTTTTTTTTTTTTTTTTTTTTTAAAACGTTTATCCTTGTGAAGCTGTCACTACAGGGAGCTGTCTGTGCAGACCTGCATTCCTGCGTGTGTGGAGACGTTCTTCCATTTTGCCATCCATCCTAGTCCCTCCTGAGGACCAGGAAGGGGCCTTGGGGTCCTATGTTCTTTGCATTTATGCTTCTGAAGACACAGCCTGCAACCCCAGCTAGGTGTGGATAGTGGGGGCCGGTACTTTCGAATTCCCTCCTTTCCCATAGCTCCTTGAGGAATCCCTCCCTCACTTCCTCTGAGCCATGTGTCCTCAAATTATCAGCAACCCTGCTCCAAGAAGTCCTCCAGCTAAGGAAGCCAGGTCCCAATTCCTAGTTTGGGGAAACAGGGAAAGAGGTACTCTGTGTTCAGGTCCATCCACTCAACACATTATTTTCTGAAAAAGCTATAAAAATGTGTATTACGCTGAGCTCCTCAGGCCTGAGCTTATTCACCTGTGAAATGTGTTAGGTAGAGATCACATGAACGGACCCACAATGTAACACATCCCATTCAACTTTCACCAAAAAACACAACTGTGCTCCTTGGACCATCTGCATCCTTTCTGGTTATATATCCCTTCCCTCCTTTGGGCCTCACATTGCAAAAATGGGCTTTTCGTCTCCAAGTTCTGATTCAGCTCTGGAGTGCTGAGTTCTGGGAGTTTAAAATGATGCAGGGAGGTCACTCTTTCTCCTCTTTCAGTCCTCCAACCACAAAGAAGAGGCTGGAGCCTCAGAGAGGACACGGGGAGGCGCCAAAGCTTCCTAGGGTAGGGAGGAGGGTACAGAGGGAGGAGGATCTGTCCTAGCTGGGGTGTGAGAGACGAGTTAACAGCTCAATTGTTATTTCAATTACACGGATTATTTGAAAACAATGTTATGAGTTTCATCACTGACAACCCCGGGAAATGGCTGCTATGGCAACCAAGGAAAAGAATGGCCATGGCCAGCCAATCAGAAGTTCCAACTGAAACCTCAGTTTGCACAAACTCCCTCTCCTCCACAGAGCGCCTCCCCTCCTCTGGCAGGGAGGAGGGCTTGGGAGAAAGAGAGAAAGACGGTGCCGGTGGAAGGACACTCTGAGGAAGAGAAGAGGGCAAACGAAGAAACTGAGGCCCAAGAAGGGCTGGAATTCCCTCCCACATTCCTCAAGGACGCGTCTGGGCCACTGTACCCTTCTGGTGCTCAGCACAGGCCTGGCGCAGGGCAGACAGTAGCAAGGATAGCTCCAGACCCGCTGTGGTAAAGAGGGGGTGCCTGGGGCAAGCTCACTGTTTGCTGGCGGGGTTCCCTGAGAGCCCCTCCACCAAAGGGACAGCGTGATTCACCTCATCTCGCACTGCCAGGAAGACAGCAGGGTGCCAGGTACCTTCACTGGGCCAGAGAAAGGACAGGTGTGATCTTTGAGGTTCTGAGGGCCTCCAGAGCCCTGGATCTCTTTAGCTGCTACCCTCAGCAGAGCCACCCCTGCGGGCAACATCCCTGGCCCAGCCTTCTCCAAATAAGGCACCTGGCAGTGTCCAGGAAAAGTGTTTTACCTTGAGACCATCCATGCTCTCCTATGCAGAAAGAGACCACGTTGACAGAAGATGGCTGGACTCCAGCTCTGCAAAAACCCAGGTCTGAAAGCCCATTTCCTATGCCACCTGAGCTCCTGCCATCCGATCCTGTGTTCCTGGAGCCTCTCCATCTTCCTGAGTGGGCCCTCACAGGGGGACTGCTAGGTGTGGGCCACTGTGCTAAGCACTGCACAAATAATAGCTCCTTTACGCCTCATCTTGAGCCTATGCAGCAGGTGCTGTGACCGGATATCCCCATCTTATGACTAGTGAAACTGGGGGAGCCTAGTAACCCTAGAGCCAGGCAGCCAGAAAGGGGCAGCACAGGGACTCTAGCCCCGGCAGTGTGGCTCTGGAATCCAAGCTCTTGGCTGCTGTCCTAATTCCTCCAGACGGAAGACTGCCCGGCTCAAGCAGGCCTGATGGCCAAATGAGTCATAAGATTCAATATTTATTGCCTCATCTTCCCATATCAGGACCCCTCCTCCACCCCAGCACTTGCCCTGAATCTGCTGGGCCTTGCTTTTTACAGCTCTCGGCAGGGGACTGCTAGGCAGATACACACACGGCAGCCAGCATGGACAGTCAGAGAAGGGGATACTCAGAGATAAGTGGCCCTCACAGCCCTGTGCCTGGGGCTCCTGGAAGGCTGGGAAGGGCACCATGCTTAAGATGAAACCTGCTAGGAGAAAGGTGTGGCGTAAACACTACCTCATTTATTCCTCAGAGACAACAGCAAGGGAGCTCTTACTCTCCCATCCCACAGATCGGGAAACCAAGGCTGCCCAAGGCCGGCCAGCCAGTCTGTATCAGAGGAGCACTGGTGCCCAGATCTGGCTGCCTCTGGCCGCCAAAGGTGCAGGACATGGCTCCTGTCCTTTAGGGATCAGTCAGGGCAACAATTCAAGAAATAATAGCTCATCTGTGAGTGCCTGGGGGAGCCACAGTCTGCAGGTGGGAACCCACCTAGGAGCAGTGGCTTAGCTGAGGCAGATGCGTGTCAGGACTTGGCAGGTGACCCTGTTGGATGATGAGATTGGGCCTTAAACACCAAGCAGATGGTTTGAGGCTGACGGGTGAGGCCACAGAGAGCAATTCCTGGCTTTGGAGCCTCTTTCCCTCTCTCTCGAGGTGGCCTCCCTCTCACACCGTGGAGCAATTTCCCAAAGCATTTTCTCTAATTTGTGATTGTTTTCCTAACCCAGAAGCACCAAGAGTCTCCAGTTTCTCCCAGCTCATGCCAAGCCAAGCTCAGCAGCCAAAGCTGCTGGTCTCCACCCTCAGTCCAGCCTACTTGGGAACCTAGAAGTCGCTCTGTCCTCAGAGATCCTCTGGGTCCTAGGCAGGCTATGGGGAGGGTCTTGTGGGCCCCAAGCCCAGACTACTTTCCCAGCCCAAAGCCAAGTGAGCTGCTGCAGAGACCCAGGGATGGTTTTGGAACCAGGCCACCACCTGCTGGGTGGACAGCGAGGGCTAGGACCTGGAATGGAGGGCGGCACTAAGGTTCCCGGAGGGTGCCAGGGCTGAGCAGAGAGGCCAAGGGCTCTATGAGCATCAAGGAGTAGGTGGATGGGGGGTTGAATGGGGACAGAAATTCCCTGCCTGAGCAGCAAGGGCTTTTCCGATGAGCCAAAGGCAGCACAGCTAAGCGAGAAGGCTCAGGACCCAGGGAGGGCGCGAGGGCTCCACGCCAGGATCTGGGGCTCAGCATAGCCAGGGGCTCCATGATAGAATCTGGGGCTCCAGGTGGGTTGGGGCTTTCACAAAGAGGAGCCAGAGCTCTGTGGGGACATCTGTGGGGATCCCTATGGCTGGGGTCTCTGCTGGGAAAAGACAGAGCCTCCACAGGAGATGGGGCCTGGGAGGTGGATGGGGCTCTGGAGGGGACGGGAACGCTGAAGAGGGGACTGGGCCACATGGAGAGAAAGGGGCTCCAGCGGGAGGGTGGGCTACAGAAGAGGAAGAGACTTGGGAGGAACTGCAGGCTCCCTGGTCCACACAGCCCCTTTCCCCAAAGGTCCCCTCACCTTGGACCTCGGGCCCTCCACTCATCTGATGCCTTTCTTCAAAGACAGGCTCAGAGGCCTCTACTAACCCTACACAAAGGCCTAGACTGCGCCCATTTACTCCAAGTCACCCCTGCAGATTCTGGTACCTCCTACCGCCCAGACACACCCCCAGTTGAGTACTTCAGGCCAAGTAGTGGTCAGCAAGGTGGTTCTCCACACACACAGCTCACTCTGTCCCCCAGCTGCAACCTGCCCTCTTCCCCTCAACTGCATAAAGGCCCATGAGTCACATGACCACAGCACACCCGCTGCACCCCTACGGTGTCTCACAGAGCCCATAGGAACCCAGTGGCAGGAGAGCTGAAGATACAGGGTGAGAAAGGCAGGACCTGTGCCTTTAAGGGACCCAGTAGCCTGTGCTGATGTGTGTTGTGTGTGCACGCACGCGCACACACACACACACACACACACACACACACACAGAATTCAAGGGTAAAATAGTGTGATATCAGGGCCTAAGGATTCTAGAATGCAGCTAAACTGTGGGCCACACCCACCACTACACACTTTGTAGCTTGGAGGACATAAAGTCGCCCTCAAATTTCTCTCTTCTAGCTAAAATAATTGTCGTGTGTGTTATTGTGTACTAGGAATTGAATCCAGGACCTTCACACTGAATTACATCCCCAGCCATTTTTAAATTTTGAGGCAGGTCCTCATTAAGTCACTAAGCTGCCTCTGTTGGGCTCAGACTTGAGATCCTCCTGCCTCAGCCCCCCAGAATGCTGGAATTACAGGCAGGTGCCACCATGCCTGGCTACTACTGGCTTTTCTAGTCAATAGCTTCCTATTAGGCATCTTCCAATACTTGTGACAAGATTTTATCTTAGCCTGGCACGTAGTTGGCTCATAAGAAATGTATCTTGGATGGATGGGTAAGAAGGTAGATTTGTGGATGAAGTAAAGAGGGCAGATACACAGGGAAAAGGTGGAGAAAGAGGCAGTGGTACATGTGTAGGTGAGTTACAGGTGGGAAGATGGATGGGTAGAGGGGTGACGGATGGATGGGTGGAGTGTGGGCAGATAGGTGTTTAAATGGAAGTGGGTGGGCAGGAGGACGGAAAGCTTGGAAAGCTTGGAAAGACAGATAACTGGCTGGTCAGTGGAGATGCTGGATGGTTGGATAATGTCAGCTGGCATCTCGGCTTTTACCCACATTTCCCTAAGTTGGACTTCCCTGAGTTGACTTGGGTGAATGGACTCCCATCCTCCAAGACACCCAGGCTGGAGACCCTGTTGCAGTCTGTCCCCGCTCTTCCGCGTCTCCCACAGCCGAGAAGCTCCGAACCCTACTGAACCTTCTCCTTGGCGCTCTCCCTCTGGTCCCTATTCTGAAGAACCTCATTGAACACCCCCGCACCTGTCTGCTGATGATTCCAGCTGCCCCGTGCCTCCTTCCTTTTCCTTCCCTTCAAGTCCACCCTAAAACCATGCCAGCAGTATGCCCTTAACTCATTTCATCTTCTCAACTAACCTCAGCGTCAGGTACAGATGAGGAATCTGAGGCAGGGGGCTGGGTGGCCTCAGGGGGCCGAGCTTCTCCTGTGCCCTCAGAGCATCTTGTGAGTGGGGTGGACAGAGAAGATTCATGACAACACTCACTTGTCCCTGCTCCTCCTGCTAGGCTGCAGTCCCCCCTCTGCCCACCTGTGCTCTTCCGAACCCCACTTAGAGTTCTTGTGAATGATTGGTAATGAATATAGACTCATCTGGGGGCAAAGACTGTGCCCTCTGAGCCCCTATGGGCTCCTGGGGCAAATTCTCACCTCTGCCCAGGTCTCAGTTCTCCATCTACAAAATGAACAGGACAACCAATCCCTAAAGCCTTTTCAGCTCCAAATGGCATATGCATAAAAGCAGCTATTTAGATCGCAGAAGACAAGAGCCTGGGAGCCTCTTGGCCTTGGGGCCTGGCTGCATCTCCCAGGAGCTCTCTATTGTCCCTGAATACACAATTTCAGCCTCTGGTCCCTGTGGGCCCCACCATAAGGCCCCCATCCTATGTCTGGCCACCTGAATCTGCCGGTTCATCGCCTGTCCATCATCTTGTCTGCCTGCTGACCTGGATCCACCTGCCTCTGCTATCCATCCATCACCCTGCCTGGGCCCATCCACCCTTGTGTCCCCTCCTGCCTGGGGTCTGTCATTTTGCCCGTCACACACACTGTCCACCTCCCCACCCTGGGCCCCCTATTTTGTAAGCACCACTGTGACAACGAAGATGGGTGTAGCCTTCTCCCTTCTCACTCACTGAGTGGGCCACTGTCTTAACATCAGGACCAACAGCCCCCTGCAATCCAGCATCTCCTTCCTTCCCCCAGACCTCCAGACCCCTCCTTGCTGGGTGCAAGGGCTTCTACTTGAGGAATCTGGTCAGGACCACACGCCTCCTGCCAAAAATGTCCAACTGGTCCCAGAGGAAATCACTGGACAAGAGCACAAAGATGTGTGTACAAGGATGTTCATCGCAGAATTGTTTGTAAGAGCGAAGGATTGGAAACAACCCAAATGTCCGACAGTGGGGGCTGGTTAAATGAATTATGGACCAGCCACACAATGGCGAACTGTGCAGCTCTTAAAAAATGATGATGTAGATGTATATTTATCGAAATGGCAAGACATTCACAATATATTATAGAGTGGAAAAAGCAGGTTACAGAGGCAGATGTATAAAGCAAGATGCCATTTCTGGTTTTTTCTAATCTGTCTATGTCAACAAAAGTAGGCATCGAAATGGTAGGCCAAGGGTGGGAGATTGTGGCTGATTTAAAATGCTTTCGTACGTGACAGCACACACACACACACACACACACACACACACACACGCACATGCGTGAATTTGCACGTGTGCACGTGGACGATCCCTCTGTAACGAGTACTTCCTACCAGCGCAGTGCTGCGCTCCGCCTTCTGTCTGCACCACCCATTCACTCTTCCCCGGGTCCTTCGAGGCAGGTTTGAGGAAAGCCATTTCTTAGATGAGGACACAGAGGCTCCCGCAGCTAGTTAGTGGCAGAGCCAGGGTTGCGACTCAGCTCTGTGGGACTCCAGAGCCTGTGCTCTTAATCAGCGGGTTGTCATGTTTCTTGTTTTGTTTATCTGTTACTTGCCTTTAAAAAAAAAATAACATCTATTTACTTGGGTGATAAAGAAATGTCAGAAGTTAACAAGACACAGGAAGGAAGAGGCTGGCAAGCCACACACAGGGCAGCGCGTCCTGGGCCTCGGGGCTCCTGATGGCTTCTCCCCAGGGCCCATCTTTCCCCTCTACCAGCCCTGCACGCATTAGGTGGCTGAGCCCGGTGGGGAAGAGCTGAGCAGTCAGGCATCTGGCTCAGCGGGAGCGGGTGCCATTGGCTCTGTGCCTTCTGCCAGGCTTGACCTGGGGAGGCAGGAAGGCAGGAAGGAATGTCCAGTCCTGCCTCCGCGACTTTCCCAAGGCCAGGCTCTGCGGTACCTCTGCACTGACAGCATTTGGGGCTGCAGAATTCTTTGTCTGGGGGGTGGACGGGGTGCTGTCTTGTGGGCTGCAGGATGTTTCCCAGCAGCCCTGGCCTCTGCCCACCAGATGCCAATAGCGGCCTTCTATCCAGTTGTGACAACCAAAAATGTCTCCAGATACGGCCAAAGGTCCCTTGAGGTGCAAAGCTGCCCCATCTGAGAAAGACTGGTCTGCTATGTTGTGTGCGATACAGGGCAGCCAGTGGAAAGCATCTAAGCCAACTGCTCTGGAGGGTCAAGGTAGATATGGGGGTACCGGCCCTGAGGTCTGCGGGCCCCTCACGTTTCTTTTCATTCCACAGACTTATCCTGAATGCTGTGCGCCTCCATCCTCCTGGCCTCCGCAGTTGCCTCCTGCCCAGAACGCTCAGAGTGGGCCCAGACTTTTTGCACAACCATCCATCTCGCGAGTCCCACCGGCATCTCACACATGCTGTCACCTCTGGCCTCTGAATTCACCGTCTCTACATCTCAGGAGCCTCCTGAGTCTGAAACAAGGACTTGCTGTCCTCTGCATCCGGTGGTCCCCCAGCCCTGCTCCCATTCTGAGCCTACCACCACCCACCCTCGGATGGTTTACCCTCCAATCCGAGGCTTCTAACGGCAGAGGCCACTATGCTGCCCTCTGCTGAAATCCTTTACGGTTTCCTGCTGCTCAAGTATTTGGTGCAAGCTCCACTTTGGGCTTTGCAGAACCACCTGGCCTCATTTTCCATGATCCTTTCTCCTTCACCTAACCCTTGTCCGCCACTCCAGCTGACCAAGCTTTCTTTTCTCCAAGGTTCTCCTAGCACCCTTCCCCCTAGGTCTGGAGCCTGCTTCTCTACTACCAACCCTTCTTCTCCTCATCCTTCAGACAACTGCGGCTTAGCTTGCAGGTCTCTGCTGAACACCTCTCCTCCTGGAAAGCCCTGCTGCACACCCATCAGCTCTTGTCCTGGGCATGAGAACTGTTCATTATCTCCTGCTCTGGACCACCTGGCTTGCTCTCCACAGCATCTCCATCACTCAGCACAACACCTGGCCCATGGGAGCCCTCAACACATGCATGCAAACATAAGTTTTAAAGCAGATAAAGAAAGGATGCATGGCCAGACAGACAGGCAGAGGGGCCGATGCAAGGAAAACACACTTTTGGGGTTTGGGTCACAGAACTTGAGATCGTTGGGACAGAACGTTCAGGTAGGAGGGCAGGCGTGGCTGTATGGAGGAGGCACAGTGGGAGATAAAGGAGGACGCAGACAGATTACAAGGACCTTGAATGTCACTGTGCAGAGTCTGGACTTAATTCAGTAGGCGATGGGGAGCCATGGAAGGGCTTTAATCAAGCAAGTGACACCATCCCACCTGTGTCAGAGAAAGATCACTCCGGCTGCGGCAGGGAGTGTGGTGGGAGGGCATGGGAGGCTGGGAGGCCCTGAAGGAGGCTGCCACCTCTGTTTAGGCAGAAGCCAGAGAGGTCTGAGGGACAGCAGGGATCGTGGGATGGGGCTGGGGGACCAAGAAGGAAGGGATCTGTGAGTCTAGCACAGATCTCTGTGCCCCTGGCCCCACGACTGGGCAGTTTCCGCTTCCCTTGAGGAAAACACCATCATAGAGACTCCCAGGGCAGGGACAGGTCCTGGGTCGCCTCACTCCACTCCCCGGGCAGCCAAGGTCATGTGCAAAATGGAGAAACTGCGCCCATTAGCTCCAGGAGAACTGAGAGTTACCAACAAGGGGATAGGAACAATATGACTTCCTTTATGGAGCGTTCTGTGTGCCTGGACAATGTGTCAAGCCCCACACACGACGCAGGTGTTTAGTCTTCCCAACCACCCAATGAGGTGGGTATCGCTTTCTCCTCCATTTCACAGAGGAAGAAACTGAGCCTCAGAGAGGTGAAGTAACTTGGCCACAGTCACACAGGGCTGGTCTGACCCTAATGCCTCGCTCTTCACCAGCTATTTTATATGCTGCAAAGGAAAGAGCTGGTAGCTCGTGGATGGCTGAAGGCTCATGGGTCAAAGGAGAAAGCAAGAAGCCTGCAGGTGGGGTGTGCAGAGGGATCTGAGGGAGGAGGGAAAGTCTCTGCTTCCCACACCTCCCGTACTCAGACCCAGCCTTGAGACTCAGGAAGTGGCCACTGTAAGCACACACTAAGAGCGAGCAGTGTGGACACCCGGTTGGGCCACCTTGGTAATTAAAGCATGTTCCTTTGGAGGCAAGCAGCTCCATAGGCCCATGGGTAGTGAGTGTAAGAAGTCTTCTTGCAGATTAGAACAAGGTGACCCTCCCTCTGCGCAGACATAGTCTGCCTCTAGAGTCCCTAACTTGTTGAGTGGAGCTTAAAATAGATGTCAGCCCCTACTCTCCTCTTGTTCTGAGTGCCCTCAAACAGTCAACAACCTACCCAACTGTACATGACAACCATAACTCCATCCTCCCTATCCTGCCCTCCTATACTCCAGTAACCACTCTGCATTGTCTTCAACAACAAAATGCCCCACAACCTACCTGCCAGAAACACAGATTTAACCATTGCATTCTACAGATTTCACTTTTATAGTAATCCTTGCTTCTCCCATGTGAGAAAAGATAGTCTTATTATGTTCATTGCCCTGATGAAAAAGTTGAGGTTAGACTGCTCTGAGGGCAGAGAAAAAAAAAAGAAATCTAGGCTTCCTCTAGAGAGATCAGAATCAAAACTCAAGGCTGTAGGAAGTGGAGAACCCTGGTCAAGAGTTTGTTCCATCTTGAGGTGCTCCAGGAGCCCAGGGACGTGGAGAGAGCACCCACTCTTGCTAGGGACACCAGGCTTCCCTCCCTGGCAAGGACTCGGGCTGGCTTCCTCTTAGCCTGACAGTGCATCCCTCGCCTTGTCCCCAATCCCTAGGATCCTCCCTGGCTCAGCTCTGGGGAGGGATGGGGGAGCCTGCAGCCCCTGTCCTCCTTGAGGCCTTCCATTCCCAGGGCCGCCTCTCCATTCCCAGCTCCTGCCTGCCCAGGCCTCAAGCTTGGTTGCTACCCGAGTTATGTAAACAGAGATCGTGTTCTCTCTCTCTCCCTCCCTCTCTCTCTCTCTCTCTCTCTCTCTCTCTCTCTCTGTTCTCTCCCTGAGGCTACATTTCTGAATGGAGCTTCCTGATGGAAGAAAAAGAGGGAAAAAATAGGGAGGAGAGGAAATTTAATTGGCTGACTCCTCTCACCCATGTGGTAAGTATATTGGTTGCTCCAAACTTTGCTAACTCGGGAGGAGCCTGTCCTCTTGGGGCCCCTGCCCCAGCTTCTGCCCAGCCTCCTCTCAGGGAGCTTTGGGCTGCATTGTTCCTGCGAAGCCCTGGAGAGTGGGAGCCTGGGGAAGGGATGTGGGAAGGCGGCTTCTAGGCACCACTATCCCAGACCATGCCACACACACATGTACACATACATGCTTTGCAGAAGGGCTGTGACTTGCCCGGTCACAACACACGCACTTTTAGGGGACATGCTTTGTTCTCCGTGTCTGGTATTTAGGTTTCTGTCAGAGGCATTAAGTGCTGTCCCCTGGGGAGCCCAGCAACTCTAACTTAAACACCTCCTGCGGCATTTGCACAGGTGTCTTGTTCTTTCTGCAGTCTGAAGGCAGGAAACTCCCTCCACCCTCAGCCCAGCATATAAGGAGAGTTGATGAGGTTGGAAGTCAGGGTGCTCGGGTTCCCATTCTGGACAGAACTTGCAATGTGTCCTCACCCTCTGTTCCCAACACTTTCCAATGAGAAAGAGAGCAACCCAGGGGTCCCCAAGGTGCTGTCAGGGGGAATGGTTCTCATCTCCAGAGCCAGCAGGCAGGGCCACCCAGGAGGGGCACATGGCCTTAGCTGAGACAGGCCCTGCTGGCTTTGCACAGCAGCTGCCACCTAGGCACTGGGGAGGGTCCCAGAGGCTCAGTGGCAGCCCCGGGAAGTGGTGCTTCATCATGGACCAGGGCTGTCCTTCCCTGGAGGACTGCAAGAGGAGTGTTCCCAACACTGAGAAGAGCAGAGGATGGGATGGAGCGGAGGCGGGAAGTGGCTGGGGCCAGGACTGA